ACACAGAGTAGATAGACACAGGAGCACAGAACAGATACACAGACACAGAGTAGATAGACACAGGAGCACAGCAGTGACCAGTGACACAGAGCAGTGACCAGAAACACAGGCACAGAGCAGGGATTAGATATATCATTCAGGATGCTATGCACTGTGCAGGTTTCCATGTTATTGAAAGGACATTGCTGTAACAATTACCCAGGCACGAAGGATATGAAGGTCCTACCCCTCTGTATCAAAGGAACTGAATGTCAGGGCTTGAATAAACGAGATCATGGGGGGGCTTGCCTTCCGTAAGGTTATTAAGAGTCCGCCTGGAGCAGTGGCTTTAGGGTCAGTGATGACATAAAGACCCAGGGGACAAAGGTGGGGCGTAAGTGGAAGTGTGTAAGGACTCAGGACTGGAGGGCAGCAGAGCATGAGCTCCACACAGCCGGTGCAGCCAGTGGAGTGTCTGGGCGGGTAGACAGGAGGGCCTGGACCTCATCTGGAGCTTCAGTGCAGAGGAAATAAGGATGTGTTGTGTGTTGTCTCTGCAGGTTGGAATGGGCCAAGGTCAGCGCCGAGGAACAGGCCAGGGTGCAGAGGGTGCAGCAGATAGATGGGGAGTTCTGGTGAGCTCTGCCCTGTGACCTACACGTTGGTGTTCCTCTTGCAAACCCAGCCCTGTCATGTTCAGACCAGCAGCCTTGCATGAAATGCATTGGAATACCCCTTGCTGAGGCGTGATTATGAAGGACTACTGTAGCTCGAGGAGGAAAGGGACTCACACGCAGTGCGGTGTGAGCCCTGGGGCAGTTCAAACCTGGGCGAAGCAGCCTGGGATTCCCCAAGAGACGGCACCCGGCTCAGTGCCACAGCGGTCGGGCAGACTGCAGAGCTGACCCGATTCGGCTTCAGTGCAGCAGCAACTCCTGCAACTTGCCAAAATGCCTACACACCTCTCAGTGATGTCCGCGAGAGACACACTGCCCCTCCTGTCGGGCGCTGAGCAGCTCGCCGTGCGTCAGGGAGACGATGGGCTCCGACAGGCGGGCCTCTCAGGATAAAGCCTGTCTATAGGTGCTCATCCCACCCCTGGAGTTCTCACAGTCTTCAAGTCTTCTTCAGAGAATCAATTTACAGATTCCAGGTGGGGCGGGTGTACAGTAAAGCTGAAAAACAAGGGTATTTACTTTAACCCTTGGAGATGGAAGCCCAAAAGGTTTAGAAATTGTCCAAAGAAGTTCCAAGATCAAAACCCGTAGAGTCCCCTTTCCCAGTATGCGCAGGCTTTCTGTGTCGATGGTGTGCATGGCTGGACACAGAGGGTGGGGTGTCTGTAACTTCCGGTGCCGGTCTGGGGTTTTGTTCAGGAATTCTTCCCGCTGTTTCTCTCTCCCCCCTCCCTCTCCATTTCCGTGCAGGATGGAGGTGTCTGACTTCCAGCGCAATTTCAACATGATGGAGGTTTGCCACCTGAGCGACAGCACCCTGAGAGGGCCGGGCGCCGTAACCCGGCCCTGGGAGTGTGCCACCCACCACGGCAGCTGGGTGCCTGGCATCTCCGCAGGGGGCCCCCCCAGCATCGCGGGTGAGGGGGGACAGGAGCACGGCCCAGGACCTGCTCTCCGAACTCAGGGGGGCTCGGAGGCCGGTCCTCCGTGCCGGCGATGAGGTCTGAAGCAGAACTTTAGGAGGAGCTGAGGGTTTTAAGGAGAGGTAGTCTCCGGATGTACAGTGTAAGCTTGAGATGTTTTATCTGAGGGACCCTGGTTTTGGGGAGATGGGTCAGAAGTGATTTCTCACCTTCATACCGCTCGGGTCTGGAATTCTGAAGGAGAGGTCGGCTGTGCAGGGTGGAATGTAGCTTAGAGGAAACCTACAAAGTTGCCTCCATTCCCAGTTTAATGAGCTACAGACCCTGTCATCACAACACATGAACAACACAGCCAGCTGTCTTTATTCGAATTCTCCTGATTTGAAGTAGCCAGCCACGATTGGTTCTCGCATCTCGGCTTGGCTTGTTTTGGTTCGTCTGTATTCTTACACACAAGGAGGAAGGGGGGGGGCAGACTTCCAGCCACTCAGATTTTGATACGTCGCCAGAATGTGCCGAAGGATCCTCACCGATCCGAGGAGAGGTGCCTCCCTCACCGACGAGTGCCACGCGCTTGCGAGAGCCCAGGATGCTACAGGGGTGAGAGCCCTGGCTGTTTAAACCGAGCCTGCCCTACCCGCCCTGGGACACCCCCGTGCTCAGAGAGCTCAGCCTGAGCACGGACGTGCGTCGTTACTAGTTGAGCCACTAGGGAGGCACAGAGATACCATGTTCGCACATAATCAAAACGCAGAGATCCAAGCCCTTGGTCCCTTTTATTGTAGCACCACCTGAACCCAAAGAGTGGATTCACGCCTGCACCCAGGTCCCATCCCGGGAGATCCTGTCAGCTTGTTTGTAAGTCACTTCAGACACGAGCAGGGACCTGCAGTATCCCCTGGGATCCTGAGAAAGAAACACCTAATGAAAAGCAATGGTCAGTACTCGGGGCACCTTGAGGAGCAGTACCAAAAGTAGATTCCAAGGGCATAATTGGAGCCTGAAGGGGAGCACATTTATGACGTTTATGAAGTCAGGAAGCGGTGCTTTACACAAAGGTTGGTGGGTGTCTGGAAGAAGCTGCTCCGCCATGTTGTTGGAGCTGTGGGATCGTTGAGGAAACTGCCAGACAATTCTTTTATCAGTCTCCGACCAATGAGCAGGATGGACCGAGCAGCCTCCCTTTGTGTGTCAGAGCAGCTCTTGTGTTCTAATTATATCCATAATTGCATCTGCCGTATGCACACGGAGAATAGGGCTCGGACGTGCTTTGGAATTGCCTAATGCTGATCAGCCTGCCCTGGGGTCTACTGGACTGCAGACCTCCCTCTGCGCCAGGCGAGGCAAGACCGAAATACTAGGAGAGAAAATGGTGGGGGCTCTCATTCTGGACTGGGGCCGTGCTCACCAAAAGCACTCTGGGGTCGTCTGTCCCGGGCTGGAGGCAGAAGAATTTGGAGCCCGGCAGTCCAGGAATTCAGGTTCAGCCCCCAGCTCTGCATTTAGTCAAGGCCGTTCCTGATGGGTCATGCTGTTGTGTCTCGCAGAACCTCATTAGCAGTCTTGACTAGTGGTATTACCTGGATTCAAACCTGTAATCCTTAGTCTAAAGTTCACCTCCAGATTCCCTTGGCTTTCAGTTTTATATCAAACATAAGCATGAAAACAAAGCATGGTGCTGATGCTCTTAAAGACCATCAGCTACAATATGGTGCTTATTTAGAACAATATCTACAAAGTAAAGAAAATTATTTTGGTTTGTATCTAAAGAGCTCCTGGATGGATTATAAAATAGTAACATAAGGAGAGATGTAGTGCCCAGGAGCCCATTCTGCTGTCCCAGTGTGTGATGAGTGTGACCCCTCAGGTGTGGCATGAGGACCGTGTGTCATTGCAGGACGATACTGGCTGAACCCCCAGTTCCGGATGACACTTCTGGAGGAGGACGATGACCCGAGTGACCCCGCCCTGACTTGCAGTTTTCTGGTGGCATTGATGCAAAAGCACCAGAGACAGAAAGGAGTTACCCTCGACATCGGTCTCCACATCTACCAGGTAACACACCTGACACAGGTGACTACACTCTCCCATGAAACAGAACCACACACACACACACCCGACACAGGTAACTACACTCTTCCATGAAACAGAACGACACACACACCTGACACAGGTAACTAACTACACTCTCCCATGAAACAGAACCACACACACACCCGACACAGG